AAGTACTAATAGTTCACGAAAATAATAATTTTCGTGAACTATTATTAGTTAAGTATGTAAAAATTTATTACATTTCCTGTTGTACGAGAGTTTTACCCAATTCTCGAACCGTGTCAGAGTGAATTCGTGCTATAAAAGTACCGTGTTATACGGGGGATGGTACCAATTTTCGAACCGTGTTAGAGCGAATCCGTGCTATAGAAGTGCCGTGTTATACGGGGGTTACCTGTATATATAGATATAGATATAAATAATAATGAAGAAGACATATACAACACATCATAATTTGTAAAAAACTACAAATCATAGTTTAAGATCTCTTTTGTTAATAAAAACAAATAATTTTTTTTTTATAAAATATAGTAAATTTCTAACTGTTTTCAAATAAGACTAGTAGCTAATTTAAAAAATCCCGCAACGAGTTGCTTAACTTTCTAGGCAAAAATATTTAACTTTGTATACTCGCCATCTATTAAGAAATTTTATATAAAAACTTTTTCTATTATTAACTATCATTAAGTTGCAAAAAAAAAAACACTTAACTTGCAGGTAGAGACAAGTTTTATTAAACATTGCAAATGCTAATAACAAGTAAATTCTTCATTTATTCAGTTTGTACTGAAGATACGACACGTGTCCCATTGTATCTCCTCACCTCCTCGACCTTCAGCCATGAAAATTTACTAGCATTAATCCCTCATATAAACAAACGTTCCTGAAAAATTTGGCATTAAATAAAATTATTAATTTAAGTGAAAAAATTAAAAAAGTAATACGTGTTGCGTAGTCACCTCTCTTATTTTAAGATAACAAAGGTGACTTCATAATACATATCACTTTTTTGTTATACGTGTTACGATAATAAGACTTACACGACGTGATTACCAAAGATAGCAACGTTAACAGTTTCGGGGTGGATAGTTTTAGTTCCGTTTTCTGTTTGATAGTTTTTCTGTCCTCCTTTATCACTGACTGCAGCGAGAATATAAAATATTATTTTTTGTAATTGTAAAGTAGTGGAATCTACCAAAACAGAAAAGAACGAAAAGTAGAGGTAATTGAAATGTTTTAATTATAATTTCTACAATATAAGTTATAATACTAATCATGAAAAAAAAGAATTAATTTCTTTTTTTCTCGTATTGTAATTTAATTTGTAAAGAAACTAAGTATTTGTGAAAAAACAAATTTATAATTTGCAAGTACTGTATATATACAAACCTCATGTCATCCTATTGTACAGAGGTTTCAGCATTTTATAGCTTCTATAAAAGCTTTTTTTTATCCTGTGGGCACTAAGACCACCATTTGTATCACGTCCATTATTAGTTCTGCTAGGCCCACAACGAGTTGGCCGACGTATCTAAAGACCACCTCGAAAAATCGTTGGTTTTATTCGACCTGTTAACAATTCACCACGGGTGCTGAAGCGGCAATAATACTCGACCATATGGCTCCATACACACATTTAAAAGCTGCTGAACATCCATGTGCCGATTACCATACCATAGTGCAGATTATACCATACCATAGTGCAGATCATACGCAGACACCATAGTGCACGATGGAAGACTTGGGGCTACTACCACAAACAAACATCATTCATGTGCGATGTGTAGTTTTGGCTGCACAGTGAAATATAGGGACAAACACGTCCATTTACATGTATATATATAAAATAAAAAGAACAATACTTAAGCTGACACTTACATTGAAAATTTAATGTATATAATTTTTTTTAATATTATTTTGTCAATGATTTCTACGAACTACCTTTGTGTTAGTAAGAAGACCACCTCTCTTATCTTTAGATAATAGAGTTGACTTCGTAATACATATTACGTTTTAGTCATACGTGTTATGATCATAAGACTTACACAACGTGATTAGCAAAGATAACAACGTTAACAGTTTCGGGGTGGATAGATTTAGTTCCGTTTTCTGTTTGATAGTTTTTCTGTCCTCTTTTGTCACTGAGTGCAGCGAAAATATAAAATCTTGTTTATTGTAATTGTAAAGTAGTGGAGTACCTCCAAAACAAAAAAGGACGAAGAGTAAAGGTAATTCAAATGTTTTAATTAAAATTTATACAACATAAGTTATCAACGCTAATCATTAATTAATAAAAAGAATTAAATTCTTTTTTATCGTATTTAATATAATTTGTAAACAAAATAAGTATTTGCGAAGAAACAAATTTCAGTTTTCTACTGCAAGTATATATAGAAACCTCATGTCATCCTATTGTACAGAGGTGTCGGCATTTTAGAGCTTTTATAAAAGCTTCTTCTACCCTTGTGGGCACTAAGACGAACATCTGTATCACGTCCATTATTAGTTCTGCTAGGCCCACAACGAGTTGGCCGACGTATCTAAAGACCACCTCGAAAAATCGTTGGTTTTATTCGACCCGTTAACAATTCACCACGGGTGCTGAAGCGGCAATAATACTCGACCATATGGCTCCATACACACATTTAAAAGCTGCTGAACATCCATGTGCCGATTATAACACAAATTATTATTAACTCTATATGAATATAAGTAGCATTTATGATATTTTTAGCTGTTCCTTCCCTAACCTTATGTATTTGTAGACACCCCAATTAGAACTACCAGATAATTACAAAAGTAATTCATAGGTTTTAGATTGTTTATTAAAATTTAAGAGAAAAGGATTAATTACATTTTTAGATTAGTGTAAAAATATTTTCCATTTTCCGATAATAACGCAAAAATTCGTCTGTAAAATAGTACAGTATATGCCGAATTCTTCAGAATAATCATTAATCTTCTCCCTTCCTTTGCGGGGGTATTTCCAAAAATCTTTTTTTAATGAACATTCTCGTGAGGTACCTTGTACGAAACCTTGTACGTGCACGAAATTTCAACTCTAAACACCTAACCGTTTGGACTCTGCACTTATTATTACCAAAATCAACCCATCTCAATTNTAATTTCTTATTTTTTCATATTGTATTTTAATTTGTAAACAAAATAAGTATTTGCGAAGAAACAAATTTCAGTTTTCTACTGCAAGTATATTATATAGAAACCTCATGTCATCCTATTGTACAGAGGTGTCGGCATTTTAGAGCTTTTATAAAAGCTTCTTCTACCCTTGTGGGCACTAAGACGAACATCTGTATCACGTCCATTATTAGTTCTGCTAGGCCCACAACGAGTTGGCCGACGTATCTAAAGACCACCTCGAAAAATCGTTGGTTTTATTCGACCCGTTAACAATTCACCACGGGTGCTGAAGCGGCAATAATACTCGACCATATGGCTCTATACACACATTTAAAAGCTGCTGAACATCCATGTGCCGATTATAACACAAATTATTATTAACTCTATATGAATATAAGTAGCATTTATGATATTTTTAGCTGTTCCTTCCCTAACCTTATGTATTTGTAGACACCCCAATTAGAACTACCAGATAATTACAAAAGTAATTCATAGGTTTTAGATTGTTTATTATAATTTAAGAGAAAAGGATTAATTACATTTTTAGATTAGTGTAAAAATATTTTCCATTTTCCGATAATAACGCAAAAATTCGTCTGTAAAATAGTACAGTATATGCCGAATTCTTCAGAATAATCATTAATCTTCTCTCTTCCTTTGCGGGGGTATTTCCAAAAATCTTTTTTTAATGAACATTCTCGTGAGGTACCTTGTACGAAACCTTGTACGTGCACGAAATTTCAACTCTAAACACCTAACCGTTTGGACTCTGCACTTATTATTACCAAAATCGACCCATCTCAATTATATAGATAAATTTAGCAATTATTGTTATGAATGTATTCTTGAATGATACATATATGTATTAGGCTATCATTTAATTTACATTTTATTTGTTTTAAGTACTTGAAAATAACAAAATAATTTCATAAGTTTTAAGTGATTTCAACAAAACATATTGAAAATATTATTTTAATTTTAAAAAAGTTTAAAAGTAAGTGTCCTTTTATTCATTTAATAAATGTAATTTCTTTCCAGAGATAATTTCTTTTGATTAATATGCATACATTTACATTTCAGAAACTGAAAATATCGATATATTCAGATAAAAAAGTACATTTTTTTAAACTTTGATCTTCGTAAAAATGTGGAAAATAGTCAGGAAAAGGTATATTTTTTATTGATAAAGTTAATATTATTTGAGACATAAAATATACATAAAAAACTATTGTATCTATACAATTAACAGCAACGATCATAACGGTTATATATTATAGGCATTTCAATTATGCCATCACCATAGGCTTCATTCAATCGTACAAATTTACTGTATTTTATAAAAAATTATTTTTTTTATTGAGAAAAGAGATCTTAAACTATAATTTGTAGTTTTTTACGAATTATAATGTTTTGTGTATGTCATAATTGTGATGTTTATTATTATTATTATACTAGCTGCAAGCACATAAAATAAATTTACGAGCAAAATTTACGAGCAAATAAAAACCCGCTTCGCTGGGTTTTTATTTGCTCGTAAATTTATACGTAATATACTTTTTTTTTTATATATAAAAGACTGTTTCTCTTACTCTACAATCTTTCTCTGATTCGATGTGTTTTCCTATAATTTTAAAGTTGCTCTTCTGTCTGATTATTTCAGTTTCATTGATAATTTTCTCGTATCATTGTTAGATGTACTTCTCTTTTTTTTGTGGTTTCATTTCTCCGCGCAATTTTTTCCCTTTGAGATATGTTTCAAGAACAAAAATTCTTTCTTACGCTTTGGCATTGTTTTTTGATATACAGTATTTACTTTTCGCACTTCACTATTCACTTTTTACTTTTTTTCTGTTATTCGTACATTTTTACTTGTGAAAAATCAACTGAAGCATGTGCGTCACACTTCTCCAAAAGCAATCCCCACTACTCACACACAACGATCCTCGACTATTTCAAAACATTTTCGACTATTCGAAAACATTTAAGATTAAGATTACATTATAGCCAATCTTACCCGTTTTCACAGAATGCGAGAATTAGGTCCCCCGTTACCAAACTAATTAGAGAGTTTTTACATGGGTATAAAAATATGTTCGATTTCGCGCAAAAACGCAAAAAACCGCATCTGTGCCTGTAAATCTTGCACGCCGCTTTCTCTTAACACTTCCATTGTTAACACTTCCATTATTGACACTTCCATTGTTACACATTTTCGAAGTCAACTACTTTCAACCCCCATATCTCCGACACCCTTATAGCTATCGAGACGCAGACACCATAGTGCACGATGGAAGACTTGGGGCTACTACCACAAACAAACATCATTCATGTGCGATGTGTAGTTTTGGCTGCACAGTGAAATATAGGGACAAACACGTCCATTTACATGTATATATATAAAATAAAAAGAACAATACTTAAGCTGACACTTACATTGAAAATTTAATGTATATAATTTTTTTTAATATTATTTTGTCAATGATTTCTACGAACTACCTTTGTGTTAGTAAACAATATAAGTTATAATACTAATCATGAAAAAAAAGAATTAATTTCTTTTTTTCTCGTATTGTAATTTAATTTGTAAAGAAACTAAGTATTTGTGAAAAAACAAATTTATAATTTGCAAGTACTGTATATATACAAACCTCATGTCATCCTATTGTACAGAGGTTTCAGCATTTTATAGCTTCTATAAAAGCTTTTTTTTATCCTGTGGGCACTAAGACCACCATTTGTATCACGTCCATTATTAGTTCTGCTAGGCCCACAACGAGTTGGCCGACGTATCTAAAGACCACCTCGAAAAATCGTTGGTTTTATTCGACCTGTTAACAATTCACCACGGGTGCTGAAGCGGCAATAATACTCGACCATATGGCTCCATACACACATTTAAAAGCTGCTGAACATCCATGTGCCGATTACCATACCATAGTGCAGATTATACCATACCATAGTGCAGATCATACGCAGACACCATAGTGCACGATGGAAGACTTGGGGCTACTACCACAAACAAACATCATTCATGTGCGATGTGTAGTTTTGGCTGCACAGTGAAATATAGGGACAAACACGTCCATTTACATGTATATATATAAAATAAAAAGAACAATACTTAAGCTGACACTTACATTGAAAATTTAATGTATATAATTTTTTTTAATATTATTTTGTCAATGATTTCTACGAACTACCTTTGTGTTAGTAAGAAGACCACCTCTCTTATCTTTAGATAATAGAGTTGACTTCGTAATACATATTACGTTTTAGTCATACGTGTTACGATCATAAGACTTACACAACGTGATTAGCAAAGATAACAACGTTAACAGTTTCGGGGTGGATAGTTTTAGTTTCGTTTTCTGTTTGATAGTTTTTCTGTCCTCCTTTATCACTGACTGCAGCGAGAATATAAAATATTATTTTTTGTAATTGTAAAGTAGTGGAATCTACCAAAACAGAAAAGAACGAAAAGTAGAGGTAATTGAAATGTTTTAATTATAATTTCTACAATATAAGTTATAATACTAATCATGAAAAAAAAGAATTAATTTCTTTTTTTCTCGTATTGTAATTTAATTTGTAAACAAACTAAGTATTTGTGAAAAAAGAAATTTATAATTTGCAAGTACTGTATATATACAAACCTCATGTCATACTATTGTACAGAGGTTTCAGCATTTTAGAGCTTCTATAAAAGCCTTTTTTTATCCTGTGGGCACTAAGACCACCATTTGTATCACGTCCATTATTCGTTCTGCTAGGCCCACAACGAGTTGGCCGATGTATCCAAAGACCACCTCGAAAAATCGTTGGTTTTATTCGACCCGTTGATAATCCATTACGGGTCCTGAATCGGTAATAATACTCGACCATATGGCTCTATACACATTTTAAAGCTGCTGAACATTCATGTGGCGATTATTTAAAACATTATAAGCTATTACTTCCCTAACTCTATATATTTGTAGTGACCCCAATTAAAACTACCAGATAATTACAAAAGTAATTCATAGGTTTTAGATTGTCTATTATGATTTAAGAGAGAAGGATTAATTACATTTGTAGATTAGTCTAAAAATATTTTCCATTTTCCAAAAAAACGCAAAAATCCGTATGTAAAATAGTACAGTATATGCCGAATTCTTCAGAATAATCATTAATCTTCTCTCTTCCTTTGCGGGGGTATTTCCAAAAATCTTTTTTTAATGAACATTCTCGTGAGGTACCTTGTACGAAACCTTGTACGTGCACGAAATTTCAACTCTAAACACCTAACCGTTTGGACTCTGCACTTATTATTACCAAAATCGACCCATCTCAATTATATAGATAAATTTAGCAATTATCGTTATGAATGTATTTTTGAATGATACATTTATGTATTAGGCTATCATTTAATTTACATTTTATTTGTTTTAAGTACTTGAAAATAACAAAATAATTTCATAAGTTTTAAGTGATTTCAACAAAACATATTGAAAATATTATTTTAATTTTAAAAAAGTTTAAAAGTAAGTGTCCTTTTATTCATTTAATAAATGTAATTTCTTTCCAGAGATAATTTCTTTTGATTAATATGCATACATTTACATTTCAGAAACTGAAAATATCGATATATTCAGATAAAAAAGCAGATCTTTTAAACGTTGATCTTTGTAAAAATATGGAAGATAGTCAGGAAAAGGTATACTTTTTTATTGATAAAGTTAATATTATTTGAGACATAGAAACTAAATAAAAGACTATTCTATCTATACAAGCTACAACAACGAGTATAAAGGTTATACATTATGGGCATTTCAATTATGCCATCAACCATGGACAGTATTCAATCGTGCAACTATAATTATTTGTGTATAATCACAGAATTTAGCAAACATCTCACATTTTACACCTGATAAATAATGTTTAATATTCTATATAACTCTATCTTCTCATGAAATTATAATCAAAGACAAATAAGAAATGGTTGAATTTAAACTAATTTTAAATAGTACACTATTTTATGTTAATAATTATGTTTTATAGCATAGATATTTGTCTTATGACATTATAATATATATTAAAATTAATTCTATAACATTTTAATTAGCATATTAAGTCTTAATTATTGACACATTACAGATATTGGAATGTTTGGCCTTAGATAAATTAGATACAGCAGCAGGAAAAATAGCAGACGGTAATTATTTTTCATATATTCATTAAATTTTTATAATATAATATTTTATAATATACTTTATCGCTGTTATCAGGTATTGAAATAAAAGACTCAAAAAAAGTCTATGTGGGAAATGTTTTTAATATAGGCCTAAATCAACCATCTAGTTCAACTGTTAAAAATGATTCAGGTAATTGCAAATAATATAAGCTAAAATATTGTTTTTTAAATTGACAATAAATAAATGAAATTTGTCTAACTTTTCCAGCGATTTTTGCGTAAAAAAAGATCTTTATGTAATACATGGTATAATTATCTACTGACTTTCATTGTTAGAGCACAGATAAAATACAGTAGACCCCCCTATAACGCTTAGATACGTTCCACTTTATAAGAATTTCACGTTGTAGGAATCCTTAAATACATGAGCCAATCACAGCCCGATACGTGTGAAGTTTACGAACTAAAGCTGTTTGAAAGATTTTCTTCCATAAAATTAACCGATTCTAGACTAATTTGACTCAACATTTCCAAAACACGTATAATTTTTTGTGAATAGTCCGTATAAACTATGCTATAAACAAAAAAATTGTAGAATTACTTACCGAGTGTGCACCGTTCGACTACGCCGTTGCTTACTCTTGTTTTCGTCGCGGAGCAGCACACCAAACGGCGGCCACGTTTTCTAATAAATTATTTTTCCGCGAAAAATTCGTTGACCTTTGGAGACGTCATTAATATAAATAATTTTTATGGTCGTTGAATAAGAAATGTTTCTGATAGGCTCGATGGTGGTTGAAGACAGAGGTCACGTTTTGCTGTGCTTCCGTTTTTGCGAAGATATTGGTGGATTTTTTCGGTCTTTAGTGCGTGAATTATACATCGCTGGACTTGGGAAGACGTGCTGCTCACACTAGTATTACTGTTTTTTGGATATTCTGGCTTTCCGCGGAAATACGGACATCGAAACCCTGTGGACTTTCAGACCTACTTTCTGCATTCTACAGTGTAAGTGGACCGCTTTTGTAATTTTAACGCAAAGTGTATCTCATGCCGTCATTTATTAATCACGCTATTACGACCGACTAAGACCCTGCTCTCATCAGACAAACTTGGTTCAACTTGTAAAAACTTAATACAGGACTACGAAGTTTTTATTTCGGCATTTTTTCATTTTAAACAAAGGGCATTGTCTGGTCCACGTGCTCGTTGCTTGCCCCGGGGGCATTCAGAACATTCCAGGAAGCTTTTTTGTTTAGTGTCACATGCTGCTATTTACAAGTTTTTGTCTCCACATTTCCTTGCTTGGAATCAAACAGGTGGCTGTTAGTCAGTGAACCTTCTTGTTATTGCTAGTAGCTTTTAAGGGTTGTTTTTATTGCAGCATTTAGCAACCCGTTATTTGTTTATAAATTTTTTATTTAGTAAAGGTGCATAGTCCACTGTTTATTTACTTTGAGGCACACATGGAGAGCTCAGGAGAGCCTAGTCAACAACATTTAACTAACTTCGAAGACCCCATTATCAAGTCTGCTGCTTTGCAGCTGGGGAGAATAATGGACTTGTGTCCAGAAAACACCACTGACACAGTAAAGAAGGGGAGGAACAAAGGCTTCAGTTCAGAAGAACGGCTTCAGATCAGAGAACAGGCCTCTCTGTTATTTGCTGCCGTAAACCAATTATATGGGATCGTCTCAGAACTGCGCAACAAATCTGAGGCAACAAGTGCGGAGCGGAGTGCTATCAGGCAATCGTATGCCGAGGTTACAAAGCTCAACACACGCCCCAGCAGCACTACTAGGGTCATATCAAGAACCCTTCACAACAAAGTGGACACAGAGGGAACTGGAGGTAACCACGCCCTGCTTATCTACCCGAAACAAGGGAAAGAAGATATCAATATGAAGAAACTTAAAAACGATATTCTGGACAATGTTCACCCACAAGACCTGCAGGTGGGAGTCAAGTCAGTTCACCGTGTTAAAAGGGACGGACTGTGCCTAAGGGTGGGAAGCCTTACAAAAGTGAAGAAATTAAGAATGGCGATTGAGAACATTCCCACTATAAAAGAAAAGGTAAACTGTCATCTGACAGAAAAAAGAAAACCTCGCGTAATCCTCATAAATACCCCTAATTCCATACAAGACAACAAAGTCACGGAAATGATTTATAAACAAAACAGATTGCATTGGAATGACTTAACGTGGGACTCGTTCGCTAGCCAGTGCCAAGTAAGCTTCTCCCTGTCAAAGGGAAGGGTGCGGGAGAGATTCCGCCACATTATCCTCATGGTATCTCCAACAGTTCGAAATACACTAATTACAGCGAAGCACATTTTTATTTCTTGGGGAAGCATCAAAGTAGAGGATTACATACCACTGCTTCGTTGTTACAAATGTTGTTTGTGGATTTGCTCATACGGCAAAAGATTGCGTCGAATTACAAAGATGTAGCCATTGTGCCAGGAGTCACTGTTTCGCTGAATGCGCCAAAAGAGACGAGGTTCCCTGCTGCATAAATTGCAGGCAAGCGAACAGAAGCTTACCAAAAGAGCAAAGGATGCCAACTGACCATGCAGCTTACAGCCAGGAATGCGCAATAACCAAGAAGATGAAGACCTTAGCAGTTAAACGAACCAATTATGGCTGGTAGGCTCAACTGTATATCATATTCGAGTAATAATACCCCACTAAGGACTCCCAACATGAGTAATCCTACTAATAATTCTCATTTCAAACTAAATATCCTCCAAATCAATGTCCAAAGGTCTAAGGCTGCTTTCTTGCTGGTGATAAAGATGGCAGAAGAGCATAACACGGACATTATCCTTTTACAAAAACCATACCTCGTGAAAAAAGCTATCGTTCGTTTTGGACGATGGAAAATCCTTCCCCCTAACAGCAACAGTGATAGGACCGAGACTGGCATCCTCACTTGCAACAAAAACATAAACACTGTGTACTGCCCGGAACTGTCGACTAGTTACGCCACCACTGCCTGCATAAAACACCACGGCATGATTATTTATCTTACTTCGGTCTACTGTTTTCCGTTCAATTCTATCGACCATCTTATTAAGGATTTGCAGGGAATAAACGACAAAATTGGCTCGTTTCCTTGGCTGGTTGGGGGGGACTTTAATGCAAAGTCACCCATCTGGCACAGCCCGGTGGAAGATGGCAGGGGGTACCGGGTTTGCGAATTTGCGTCTAGGAACCACCTAGTTTCGCTTAACTCCAGCCCTCTCCAAACTTTTTTCTGTGCAAGGGGAAAAAGCTGGATTGACCTTTGCTTTGCCAACCACCAGGCACACCCCCTTGTGGATCTCTGCACCACTATGGAGGAAGACAATGTGAGTGATCACAGGTACATCAAAATTGTCATTAAAAGCAACGATCCTGCAAAAAAAAAACAACTAGGTACACTAGCAAAGCCACTGACTGGAACTTATTTGATGAATTGTTTTACACTTACTGGGCTAATCCAATCCACCATGAACTAGCTGATAGTAATGATGCCGACAAGCTGGCAGAGCATCTTAATGCTAGCATTAGTAACGCTTTTTCTAACTCCACCATAATGAGGGAACACAAACATAGGAATGCCCATTGGTGGAACGATGCTCTCGATGCCCAAAAAAACAGTGTTCGCAGGCATCGGATATTCTTTGTAAGGGAAAATGATCCCACCCTCAAACAACAGAAAAAGCAAGAGTATATACAGAAATTAAACGCTTACAAAACCGAGATAAACAAAGCACGCACGAATGCGTGGCGCAAATACTGCTCGGAAATAGGGAACAAAACCACATGGAGTGACCCCTATCACATTATCATGAAGCCCAGAAAAAACATCGTCATCCCAGCCGATATGGAGAAAGTGAATGGTGGGTACACCACTGACCTGGATGACACGATTAAACATCTTTTCACTACCCATTTTTTTCCAGACGACCAAGAGGAATTTAACCAGAGCAGAGGAATATCAGGAGAAAAGTCCTCTACCCACCTATCACTGACGACGACATCTCGTTCACTTTTACAGAGGTGGCCACTGCTATTAAATCTTTACGGAACAATAAGGCTTCCGGCATTGATGGGATTACGGCTTGTATGGTGAAAAGGGCATTCAAAGCCATTCCTATCGCCTTCGTACTTAGCTTCAACTTGTGCCTCACCAGACATCAATTTTCAAAATGCTGGAAACATGCTGTTGTGAAATTCATACCCAAAATAGGGTCTCCCAACTCAGTAAAAGGCCACAGATTTGAGGCCAATTAGCCTTCTGCCCACACTGGGCAAGGTTCTTGATGGACTTCTAATCAATAGGATTAACCACCATCTCACGAATAACAACCACCTACATCCCCATCAATTTGGCTTCGTCCAAGGGAGCTCCACCTATCATGCTATCCACAGGGTAATCCAATTTATAGGCAGTACCTGGAAAAATGAGGAACACGTAGTGTTGATCTCAATAGATTACAGGAACGCATTTAACTCTCTGTGGTGATCATCCCTTCTTTCGCAGCTCAAGACCTTTAATTGTCCACAAAACCTATTCAAGCTGCTCACCAGCTATCTGAATGACCGCACTGCTGGTATTCACGAGTTAGGCACACCTGTCTTCTGGCCTGTTGCCCGGGGTTGCCCCCAGGGTTCCCGTTCCGGGCCTGGCCTTTGGAACATCATGTACAACAGCCTTCTTGACATTGTCCCTAACGCGACTACCGTCACCTGGGCTACCCAGGGATATGCCGACAATACCTTAGTTATGATGTTCAATAAAAACAGTAAAAAATTGCTGCAAGAGGCCAATTCTTTTTTTAACCAAATTCTAGAGTGGAGCAACTTTAATAAACTATCAATTAACCTAGAAAAGACTACCTGCATGCTAATGACGAAAAGGGACTAAACTCAAGAAACCACACTCCATCAAAATAGGAGATAATAGGATAAGATGCAGTGATAGCATAAAATACTTGGGCATTACTATCGATCAGGGCTTGAATTGGAATATTCACATAAAAAACGCTTGTGACGAAACCATAAAACTTTTGAACCTTCTCTGCTTTCTTGCAGGGAAAAACTGGGGTCTCAACAACAAGAACTTAACAAATATCTAACGCCTGGCCATAGAGCCGGCCATCCTTTATAATGCGCCCTTTTGGGGGACGCAGTGGATAAAGTTTACGTAAAGCGTAAGCTCAGCGTAAAGGCTCAGCGTGTCAGCCTCCTCAAGATCACCAAGGCCTACAGGACTGCCCCCACATCTGCCCTACAAGTAATTACTGGCACCCCTCCAATACATCTAAGTGTAAAGGCCAATGCAGCTAGCTGGTATCTCACCAACCTCAGTCTCTCAGATCGTACGAAGACTGAGCTAATAAGCTATCTAAATATTGGCATCCTTCCCAGCCTGGATATGCAACAAACACTCATGCTCAACCACAAGAACACCAAAGTTACTCTTTACAGGCATTGCAGGCATCCTGCTTTATCTCCTACCGTTAATTTTCTCACTGATCCTAGTGTTTCCAACATCAACAACGCCAACACCATCTTCACAGATGGGTCAAAATTGTTTCTTGGTACGGGCGCTGCCATCGTGCACAGAAATAGCAACTGTACACACCCGGTCCACAAAAAGGGCTTTAAACTTGCGGATTACTGCTCTATTATGCAAGCAGAACAGTACGCCATCTACAAAGCATTGGTCTACATCAACAATTCCAATCAGCTTCGCGGGAAGCAGGTCTGCATCTGCTCTGACAGCCAGGCCACTCTTTGGAGCATAAGCAAGAAAACCCAGCGTAACTATCTCCACTAACTCATCATGGACGAACTGGAGAAAAACAAAAGCAACCTCATTTACTTTTCGTGGACCCGCGCCCATCAAGGTGTAATAGGAAATGAGGAAGCAGATGTGCTGGCTAAGGAGACAGCTACTTCTCCTGTTACACCAAGCTTTGATGACATCCCAACCGTGGCTGTCAAGAATATCATCAGAAAAACGCTCATCCACATGTGGCAGAGGGAATGAAAAGAAGCAAACACTGGTAGGACTACCATTAAATTCCTGCCTAACATTCCCAACCGTCTCTCTCTCAACCACATATATGGCAATTATTTCACCAGCCAACTCCTCACTGGCCATGGGAACTTTCGCCAATATCTCAATATATTTCATCACAGCGATACCCCCTTCTGTCAGTGTGATAGTGGCGCTATAGAGGATCCCCTGCACTTCATCTTTGAATGCAACCTCTATGACACACAGAAAACTCAACTTATTCACAAAGCCCTCATTGAAGGATTCAACTGGCTTTGCACGCCCGATCAACAACAGCGCCACCTACAACGGACTTACCGAATTTATCCGGGAAACCGGCGCTTTAAATCCAGACTTCACCAACCGAAATCAGACAAGGGACTCTTCACAAGACAGTTGACCTCTACACCAGGGGCCTTAATATAACCGACAAAACATGCACCCGTTTGTAACTATCACCACTTTCAACTCTGGTATTTATAATTGTTCTATAACCACAAATTTTTTCTTTCATATGTAACGCGGCATAACTATGTGTACACTCTTTCTTTTTGCATCCTGCACATGTATCCTGCTATTTAAATTACTGTGTTGTTCGCGCTGACGATCTCTCTCATCTTCACCATCTTTCCTATCACACTTTCACCCCCCTCATCCATTACCCCTCCTTCTTTTTTTTTCACCCAGGTGATACCCCTGAGTAGTCCTGGTCTTCCGCCCCTTTCATTAAAAATAAAAAATAAATAAATAAAAATAAGAAATGCTTCTTTCACAAGAAATGTATAAAATTACAGTACTGTATTAGACTTACGGTACCTAATTTACATACTGTAGAGACGATACACGATAGTAAACTCAACTTACCCGCCTAAACGGCCTCCGTAGCGTGGCGCTAGACGGCCTAAAGTATATATATAATTATAATAAAGTTACAATAAATTAAGATAATATATAATTATATATACAGTACTGTACCTAATTTATATATAATTAATATATAATTATATGTAGAGTACTTAATTTATATATAATTTACATATAATACTGTATAGACGATAGCAAACTCAATTTACCCGCCTAAATTCTTCGTAGCGTGGCGCTGGACGGCGAAAAGTAGTTCGGCTGCTCATCCACTATTAGTCCAGATTCCACGAATCGTTTTACGAGTCCCTTTATACGAATACTGCCGCAATTTTTTCGCTACGTTATAGGAATTTCCGTTACAGGAACTCACGTTATAGGGGGGTCTACTGTAATTAGAATTAATGCACACTTTGGTAAGTAGATAGCAATTTTTGCATCAGGCCCCTTTCAGAAACATTACATTATTTGGCAAACAAGTATAAATGTTAACTTTCAAAATGTAATGGCGCATTTTATTGATTGTTTATTCTCGCAGATTATACTTTCATGTTGCCTGTATTTAATATTAAATTCTGTATTTAAGTAACATCGAAACATAAATGTGTATTGGCTATATAATTGTTAAACTTAAATGAACTTGTATTTTTCACTTGTTTAAAACTCATGATAATAAGATAATGTATTTATTCTATAAAATTATAAACATATATATAAATATGTGTAGACGTCATGCTAATTAAAGTTTGAAAAAGCGAATCAAATGCAGGAAACAAGTATCAGAAAAAGAACTTAAGTGATGTTTTTCTGTTTTCCTCACACGAGTGACACTTAAAAAATATGCAGGTACATCACGCTATATTTTTTGTGCGAGCAAAAATACCCTCATTATAGCTCAATGACCACTCACGACTGCACCCTTTATTAGATTATTTCTTCTACAGTAATGTCAATCAAAATAGGAACAACAAGTTATCCATATTATTCATGATGTTGGTTGAAAGTTTACTTCAGGCTTGACTTTATATTTAAAATACTTTTCATTCGTTATAAAAAGTAAAAAATTTTTGCGTGTATTTCAAACTCACAGAAGTAGTGTTTAAATTAGTAAGCTTAAATTTTTTAAGTATAATTAGAACTACAGGAATATTATATTCATATGTATAATATTTTTCAGAATCTTTTCAGATACAGAGAGAATCTTTAATGTATTCTTACAGCACTAAAAATGCTTACTTGAAATCTTTGTTGTGGAGTGAAAAAAGCAAAGACTTTCCCTTAACAGACTACTTCATCGAACTTACTGTTCAAGAAGCAGATTTCTTATGTAAAAAAGTAGGAGAAACTATTAAGTTTACAGAGATTTTTCCAAAATCAATGGATAGACATGTTGTAATGTTAGTCACTGGTGATCCCGGTTATGGCAAAACTACCTTTTGTAAGAAAATAGCTTACGATTGGGGTACCGATACGTCCCGTACCGATTATTTAGGACATTATGATTTTACTGTCCTCATTAATTTGCGAGAATTAGAGAAAAAAACTATAACAAATGAAATTCTCCAACGTATCAGTAAACATACAGATTCCAATTCTAGAGATAAGTTAAGACAAAGAGGATTTAACTTATTAATCATTCTGGATGGATTCGACGAAACAGATGATAAAGATTCAATTATGCATTTCATTGAATTAGATTCATTTCATATTTCTAAAAAAATGACAATTCTTCTTACTTGTCGTCCTCACGCTGCCGAAAATATAAGAGAATACGCACATATGAGATTCATTATTCAAGGATTTTCACAACAGCAGAAAGAGAAGTATATTAAATTAGTTATTAATGATGATAACGGCAGGCGGGATGAACTTATAAACTTGATAAAATTCAATTATTTTTATTCCGCCTTAGCTGAATGTCCATTAATGTTGCATATGTTATGCTGTTTACCACAAACGAAATACTTTCACAAAATACAAACAAAGACAGATTTGTTCATTCAAATTTTTCGTCTGGTGATAAAAAGATATATGAGAAAAATGGGAGAGAAACATAATTTAGTAAAAGGAAAGTGTTTCTACGGAGAAGACTTGCTAGTTAAATTGGGAAAAATATATTTGGACGAAAGATCCAAAATGAGTAAAATGGATAAGCCCGTATTTATGTACGAGATTCAAAAATTGCTAACATTAAAAGATAAACAGTTAAAGAAGAAGTTTCCAGAAGAAAAAGACTATGAATTTATATTAGGACTAGATATTTTTGCAAAGTATTCTGAGGTAAATGGAATTAGTTGTTTTGATTTTATACATAGAAGCTTTTTCGACTTTATTATAGCTCTTTGTTATTACCATTCGATACAAATTGATCGAGATAGTGCCTACGATTTGACAATTTTATCGTTTCTCTGCGGTCTTTATGAAGATAAAGAATTTTCAAATGAATTTATATACACTATTTCACAAAATATTCACTCTCTTCCAATTTGGCTTGAATGTCTTAATGAAATTAAAAACATAACGAACAAACAATTATTCTGTTCAAATGCTAAAATATATTTTGATTTTTCCTCCTTAAAAACGATGACAATTTTATTTGAGCAACGTTCCTTACAACTTTCTCAAATTTATTTTCTTTTTCCGGACACAAAACATTTTTACGAAGAAGTTAGAAAAACACTAATAGACATACACCACATTTACAAAAATCCTGATAAATTGGAGATATTTCTACTTTTGGATAAAAGTATTAAATTCGTTAAAGGTGAGGATAGCCTTAAAAGTGAAGCTATTCCTGAAAAGATTCCTAACATTTGTGATATTCGTCAGTCCGTATGTCTCATTAAAAATTTAATAAATAGTTTTAAATGGGATAAATTAAAAATTTTTTTTACTGGTGTACTTGTCCTGAAATGTATTAATTGCCCTGTTCTACATAACAACATGTATAATTTTTTCAAAGATGTCGAGAATCCTGCAGTAATTCCAAAAGATCCTAAACTGAAATTACATAAAACAAGTAAAAATCTTGTTGCTTTGCTTAGTAATAATAAATTCATTGGAGAAGTCAAATACTTGATTTCTACTGAACAATATTTGAGTCTTAAAGATAATATCAAGCTATCATCTGATGATAAATGAACAGTAAATAGCAAACAAGAAATAATCTTTAAGGCATAAACTATATTTGTATTGTTAATATAATCATTGTGTAATTTAAAATGTGATATAATCACGTTTCCTGAATTAATTTATGATCAATATTTTCTACAATAAAAATAATTAATGTATTATAATTACCTTTATAATAACAAAATAAAATCCAATGAAAACATTTTTATCTAGTCAATTTTTGTATTAATATAACCTCTAATGTAAAATTGTAAAATGTAATAAATTTAAAAAAAAAAATGTATTAGTTAGGTAAATTCTTATAAATGATATCATGAATTTATTTTTACGTGATGTCTGCCTTTCTTGTTTTATCAAAAATATATCTTTAATACTGTACTTTGTGAGATTTACAGTTTATGTAGCATTGAATTTATAATGAACATTAATGTTTTTGTTTTGTAACTAGCATATTTAATTTGTTGTGTAAAATAAATTTGAAATATTAAAAATGTTTTCATTTTAATTTTTTTTAAATGTATCTAAGCTCAATACAAAGGGAAAAGAACAACTTATAAATAAATTACAGATAAGCCTGTCGTTGCTCCGGCAAAAAGTAACGATAGAGAAGACTAAGATTATTACAATATAGCCAATCTTACCGTTTTCTTAGAATGGAAGAATTAGGTCCCCCTGTTTCCAGACTAATTAGAAAATTTTTAGATGAGTCTAAAAATTTGTTTGATTTTCTGTAAAAACACAAAAAACTGCATCTGCGCCTGTAAATTCTGCACGCCAATTTCTCTGAACACTGCCAATTAATAATTTCATTCGTAACACTTTCATTGTTAACACTTCTATTGTTAAAGAATACACTTCTTTTATTACCACGTGGTACCATACTAAATATGGTAGCCTACTAAACCGCAGTTAAAAACCAGTGGTGTGCCGTGAAGAAATTTGTAATAAGATACATAATGTGGTTATAAAAAAATATTAATTTTAATTAATCAAAAATATTGTTAAAATATGAAATTGATCGCGCAATATGTATTTATTTTTTTAGAAAATACAAAAGAAGCGACGCTTTCACCGCTTCCAATGACGGCACACCACTTATGAGACTAAAGAAGCATTATTAGATCTTGTTTAGTGACATTTATTAATTGGAAGTGAACAAAAAACAGCTGAATGTGTAAAAGCTGCAGTGAGAACAGCCGTTAAATATACTGTATTACAAAAAAAAAATGACTTGCAAAAATGTGCTGTTGTAAAACTAACACATCTTAATGATAGTTTTGTAAAGAAGTGGTTCATTGTAAAAGTTCGCAACGAAACTTTATTTTTGATTTTACCTACAAAATATGTCTTTGTTGAATTATTGTATAACATGTAATGAAGATTAAGTATAATGTAAAATTGTTACACGTAAAAAGATGAAATAGTCTTGAGTAAATCATTTGTAAAGAAAAGTTAAACAGTGTAGAGATAACGATATCCAAATACTACCATGTATATGCAAAATTCTTGGCATTTCTCTTCTTCTAGCCCATAATAACACATATATACAACCAAATGTATTTAATGGATATCCACCCGAAACATCATCTGCATCCACTCTAACATCTGAAAAAATTATGTAAATTACTCTATTATGAAAACATATTGTTTACGACAAACTGGAAACATTTGTAACCTTCATTCTCAAATAAAAAAATAGTATCAGAGAAAACAATGTGTAAAATAAAAAATGTTGTACCAAATGGAAAAGTAAGGTACTAAATAAGGAATGACAGTAAAATGAAAGAGAAGAAGCACCAAATAAAGAAGTTAAAGTGTTAAAATGAAACACGCAAGCTGTCAAATCAAACAATATGGGTAACTAGCTTACCCGTCGCGCATTGCTGCGATCTCAGAAGAAACGAAATTCAAGCAAACTCGTTATGATAAAATTAAATTTACATTTTATCATTTTAATTGAAACTTCTTTTTATTATTATTATTATTATTTATTTTCATCGGGAAAACATTTTAAAGTGTCGTTTCAATTCTATTTATTTATTGGAATGCTTGTGGATACACTATATTTTTTGTTTTTCCGTCTGCTGCTTACATGAATAAATCAGGTTTTCCGACACGTGAGCCGGCCACATACAGTTGTCCATGCGAGAAGCACGGATTCTCCAAATTTAGCCCACACACTCGCTGCGATTGTCAGAAGCGCGATATTCCCCATTTTTATATATATTTTTAAATCCTTTATAATTTTGATTATTTAATTGCTCTTTCCTCTCTTTTTTGGCATGTGAAATTTCCGATAGTTGGATAATAAACCGTTTTATTGTAATTCGTCTTTATAAATTATTTTGAGTCGATATTAAAATTTGGGAAAGGGGGATCCTAGATCGGTAAAATGGGCGAATTTCCTTCTACAACTTCGGTTGTTGTTCGGAACACGGTTAAGGTTTTAACAAAGTTCGAGCAAATACATAATTAGCAAAAAATAGTTGAAATAAAGTGATTAAACAAAAATTATTACAAATATCGTAAATAACAGTTCAAAAATTCATATATAGAGATATTTTTGAAGGGAGAGAAATGGTCTTCACAATTTGAAATCGATCTAACACACAGTGCTCGAATGCTCGTGTAAACGCGCGCCATCTATCGTAGGATGAATGTACTTCGTGGGAGTGTATTAAAAAACTTTCCAAAAGTTTCATGGCAATCGTACTATGCCACAAACCTTCGCCAGAGAATAGTAAACAACTTCCCAAAGTTTCACGGCAATCGGATAAACGGTGTGGTAATGCATGAAGAACAGACAGAGAGACACACACACATACATTCATTTTTATATATATAGATAATGAAGAAGCATTAGTTTGCAAACCATTAAAACAATAAAAAAATAAGTTACTTTATATCTTTTTCAAAACTTAGGCAAATATACGATGATACGTGAATACAATTAAACTTAAAAAGTTTTAGAAATGAAAAGAGATGTTTCCATAAAATAAGTATACAAACGAAACGTAAAATGTTTCGCAAATTTTTAAAAATTATACATAATATTACATTAATACTAGCTGTTACTCGCGGCTTTGCCCGCGCAGATTTTGCAAGCAAACCCCATTTATATTTCAACAGTACAGGTAACCCCCTTATAGCACGGCACTTCTATAGCACGGATTCACTCTAACACGGTTCGAGAATTGGTACCACCCCGTATAACACGGTAATGTTATAGCACGGATTTACTCTGACACGGTTCGAAAATTGGGTAAAACCCTCGTACAACATGAAATGTAATAATAGTTCACGAAAATTTTTATTTTCGTGAACTATTAGTACTTAAGTATGTAAATTTTCTTTTCTCGCCTTCTGTCAATACACATGGTCCTTCTCGAAACTTGTTTCAATGTTGCCAGATCTCGACGTTTCTGCTTCTGATATTGCCAGATGTTTTTCCCTTCTTTCATACTTGCTTTATTCTTCATAAGTGCTTAGCACCATATAAGGAAATTTATAAAGATCTTTTAACTAGAAGCAAGCTATCTAAACTTACGTATATTTTGCAAAAGTCAAAGCATGGATCTGAAGATAATGCAGAAAAATGCTCAGAG